AAATCTGTGGCACAACATATAAAAATGTACCTCAATAATGTTCTATTAAAAATGGGACAGGGGCCTTATGTTTTCATAATTTCCCAATAATGTGCCACCGTATTTTTGCCTCAAGGTAAAGGTTTTAACAAGCTAAAAAGTACTTCCCACTTCCCCCTGTGCAGTTCTTAACCTGTAATACCCAATTGTTTTGTGCAATGTGTAGTGTGTGTGTGTACATATATATATATATGTATATGTATGTATACTTCTATATACATACATATATATGTATCTCCTTGAAATAGACATACCATCAAAGACAACATTCAGAAGTAACTGATGTATTGGCATCTTACTCATATTTCTGATATGTGAGGTATATGGTACTAATTACCCTTTCTCTGATTTTTGCCAAATTTGAATAAAGGCATTGGTACGAAATTACAGATTGTATAGAAAATGTTTTTGGCTTGAAAAATTAACAAATATTCTACGACATACCACAATATACTCTGCCCAAACCAGCACCCTATCTATTCTGTTCTTTACATCCCTACTCCCCATTCCTATTTCCTCATTTTTTGGGGGTATAACACAATTCTTTTGTAGCATTGGTACAGTTGCAATTCTATGACAATTGGACAACAATAGCATGGAAACGGACTGGTATTAATAGTACAGTAGTCACCGGTGTGCCACATTTGCATTAGTAAATGCAAAATATACATTTTATAAAGGAAAAATTTTTGTGTTACGTTTTTATTTTCATTACATTGTATAATATTGTAAGATTATTGTATGTCCTAATTTGCATTATAAATGTTTTTTTCCTACGTAAAGGCATAAATATAGCAACTTTGTATAAAGGTAGCTTATTAGATTTTTAATTTTTTCTTTTATAAAAAATTGTCTAACAGTGGGACTACCATTGCCAAATTGTATATGAAATAGGAATTTTATCCCCTATGGTTAATTTCTTTTATAAACATTCCATATTTCTCTAATAAAAGACATAAGTGATACTGTACTATGCATAAATTGTATATTAATGCTGTTTCATAGCAGCATTTTAAATTTTGGTTTGCATTTTTAATATTGGCAAAATTTACCACTGTTGATTAAAACCTTGTTATATACATGTAACAACATCTTTTGCCCTCTTTCCCTTCCCACCCTTTGTTCTCTGTTTTTCCCTATCAGTGCCAACTTCATACATTTTGTAGCATGGCAATAAAATATAACTTTTACATTGAGGCCAAGTGTGGCTTTTTGGAGGACGTGGAGCTGGGAGGATTGCCCTCTAGTTGTTCTTTGCATATGACTTTTTGCCATATAAACCATATCTCCAGGCATGAGAAGTTCTTTCATATATGATGTAAACATGCTTTTAAGGACAAGTGTGAATGTGCTTTTAAGCTTAATTTTTGTCATAACAAATAAGAACTAATTTTTTATCTTTGGAAAAGTCAGAGTTCTTGAAGTACAATCAAACCTTTATTAACTGGAGTACTTAAAGAATAAGCTAATAATTGAATTTAGTTCAACAAGGGCTAAGCAACACGTTTTTAAAATCCTTATTTATTGTAGAGTATTAGTATTCTGTCCTAAAAATTATATGTAAAATATGGTTTAAGCGTAGATGATTTAGGATCTTGCAATGCCTTACTGTTGTCATTCGGGCATAAATTTCCATAATGAGGTACTCGAGTTGATACTGGAAGCTGAGCTGACTATACACTGACCTTAAGCATTCATGAAAAACTGCTTTGTTGAATAAAATCTGATCGGAGTTCTTATGGTTACTTTCCCTTATTGCCGAAAGTAGATTGCAATAAAACCCCAATAAAAGTTTGGTTGAATACCAATTTAAAGGTTTCCTGTATTTATATTTCACGCATTTTAAAAGACTTTATGATAAGAGGTTTTCTTAGTCTTGTATCAGTGCCTCCATTTTCAAAGTGAACATATAATGGGTTAAGGATCACGTTTCATCAGAGAAATGAAATTGTAAGTATTTGACAGACTTTCACAGTTTTCTCTATGTGGTCATTCAAACTAGGAGTTCTCAGCTTTGGAACTGCAAACCTATTTTTAGTCAGTAGTGTGCCACTGCAAGGCCTATTTGGGTACAGTTCAAGATGGAGATCATTTAAACAATGAAGGGCATAGACAAGTCCACAAATGATTGGCTGTTTACTATGTGCTAGGCACTCTGGGACTCATAAACTGGTTAAGATGTGGCAGAGACTGCATCTTGGAAAATTTGGGCATTCATCCTCAGAAGTTAAAAGCTTCTTAGGATTATTTCTGTATTTTTCCTTTGAGTTCCTTTAATGAATGAGCATGAACAGGCCCTATGCTACTAATAAAGACAGCAAGCAGGCTTTGTGTTCTAAAGAATTGTAGTTTAGAATAGCCCTTCCAGTGGGGGCAATGTCCATCCTCCCCCTGCAGAGAACTAAGCCCTAAGACAATTTGTATATAATAAATTCTCTCTGATACCTCTAGAATGGCACTAACTATATACCTTAGGAGAATTGAAAAAAATTGTCACGCCAATTCCTAGTATAAGTGGTATGATAATGGCACACACGAAGGGCATCAAACTCAGTCTAAAAATGGAGATTTTCAAGAAAAGCCTAGAAGTGGTAATCCCTAAGGATTTTGATGAGAGTCGTCAGAGATTTATAGGAGAGAGAAAGGATGTCTTAGGGAGAAGGAATGACATGTGCAAAGACATACACAAAGATCATGATTGTTCAATGTTGGCAGGGGTTCCGCATGACTTGAGCATAGGTTGCAAAGGAAGGATGAGAGAGAGAAGGAAGAAGTGAGAGCACGTAGGTGTAGAATGCTTAGGAATTTTTGTGTTAATGAAAATGAGGTGAGAATTTGGAGGATGTTAAACATTGGAGAAACAATAGTTGAGAAAGACTACTCTGACATCAACATGGAGGAACATTGGAGGGCGTGACATCGTAATAAAGCAGGGAGACTGATTCAGAGGCTCTTACAAAAATGGAAGTACAACTGGATAAATGACTATTCAAAGGCATTGTTGAAAGAGTGTGTAGGTTAGCTCTTGCTGTGTGACAAGACACCCTAAGACATAGTGGCTTAAAGCAACAAATCATGTTATTTCTCCCATTGCTATAGAAGAGGGTGGGCAGACCTATGGAACCCATCCAAAGTTACAAAACTAGTAAACAGAAGAGTTGAAATCCAAACCCTTGCAGCCTAATTCCAGAAGATGAGTGTTTAACAACTGGGGAACAAGGGTGATATGTCAAAACACATGCAATGGGGAAAGGACAAATCGCTGAGAGGACCCTCATATGGAGGGTCTCCTCCTGGCCGTCTCTGGCCAAGCACCACAGGGGGCAAGGCCTGCCTCCCACACCCCATCCAAATGCATCTCCGCCTGTTATGCCCCCAACTTCTCTAAAGCCCAGGAGGGAGGGGGCATTGGTTTTTCAGTCACCCGTAGTCTCAGGCTTAGATAAATCTTGGGCCTGCCAGAGGACATAATATTTCCAAGTAAGTGATTTTGCCCACAATAAAAACAGCCTTTTTTAACATTGTGCGGGCATCTCAGCTTCTCATTATTGTGATTATTTTCATTCCAGTATATGATCTGGGATCTGCCCATTAAAGTGCATTTCTTGAAAGAAGAGTAAGTTTTCAAAAAAATCCTCCTGGTAGATTTAAAATAACAATTTGAGCAGTCTGGACACCCGTTTCCATGATGGACCTTGAGCATAATGTAAACCAGGGCTAGCAAACTCTGTAAAAGATTAAATAGTGACTGTTTTAGGCTTTATGGGCTAGACAGTCTGTCACAACCACTCTGCCAGTGTATAATTCTGTATCACATTGTGCAGTATAAAAATGAATGGGGAGGGGCACCTGGCTGGTTCACTCGGAAGAGCATGCAACCCTTGACTTTGGGGTTGTGAGTTCGAGCCCCACATTGGGTGTAGAGATTACTAGAAAAATAAACTTTAAAAATATGTATTATTTAAAAAATGGATATGTCCGTGTTACACCAAGCGTTATGGACACCAAAATATAAGTTTCATATAATCTTAGTGTATCATGAAATATTCATTTTTTTACCCCAACCATTAAGTATGTAAAACTCAATCTTAACTCTCTGGCCATAAAAAAGCCAGGTGGCTGGTTGGATTTGGTTCCCTCCCCAATGTAACCTAACCCTCTTAAATCTGAAAGGTGAAAACTTAAAAATTGAAGAAAACATCTATCACTGTTAACAAGCTTGCTAAGTGATAGGAGAAAAGGCTATCAGTGGATGACAAAAAACGAATAGATTTTTTTAAGGACAAAAATTTTACTTTAACGCTCGTAAGGGGTCAACTTGGAGTAAGTAGAATATTTTTTTAATAAACTGAAATATTTGGGATTGATCTTGGTGTCTACCAACACATTAGGGAGGAGTATATTAGTCATCTCTACTCGTGGAGGGGGAAAGAAATCGAGTGAATCTAAGACCTGAAAATGAGCAAGCAGGGCAAAGATAAAGTAAATGGCTCCATGAGAGTTGACTGTACCGGACAATCAACGTCCGATTAAAAAACAGCTTCTTAAAACTCAACAGAAGGAATGTAAGCCCTCCTCGTAATAATAAATAACGTTTAAAGTTAAAAAAGCAAAAAAATATTATTTACTAATATAATGGTAAGTAATCAAAAAAACAAAACCCGAAAAGGCTAAACGTGTTTGCCTCCCGGGAAAGAAGTGGTGAGGTTGGTGAATTGTTTTTTCGTTATTTGTATATAACACTTTAAGCTGTGTATACCTGGTGCTTTAGGCAAGCTTTTGAAGATTAAATTTAAGAAAAATTAAACGGGCGAGCCGGAACGTCGTTGCTATGACAGCCCCTACGTCCCGAGGTCCCCTTTGTTCTGCGTTTCTACTCCCAATCAGCGCCGCTTCAAGATAGATGTTAGACCCTCCCCTTCCAGGTCCCAAGCAGGCGGCTCCGCAGGGGGCGGAGCGCGAGCCGAAGCCCCGCCCTCCAGTGTAAAGAGCCGCGCTTCCCACTGCGGTGCTCCGCTCAAAGTGGCACCCACTCACTGCTCCAGCGGGCGGCGCCCGGCACTAGCTGCGCGCTGGCCGGAGCCCCGCCCCCTGCAGTAGAGCGTGTGCCGTCATTTCCGGCTTCTCTTCCCTCTGGTCTCGGGCGTGACCTGTGCGGGATCAGCGTGTGTGCCGAACTCCTCGCAACCATGGTGAGCCTGGCCCCGTTGGCCCTGTCTAAGCCCCGCCGCGTCCCGCCGTGCTCTGCCGCCTCGTTGTCCCCTCTGTCTTCCCTTCGCCTCGGGCTCCTCCTGTCCGTAACCCGAGACCGCCGCACATGGCGCGGGCCGCGGCGTGTGGCCTGCGCCGGGCCCGCAGGTGAAGCCCTCCATGCCTCGTAGGGGGAGGGGTGGGCCCCATGGCAGCGTCTTGGGCTGACCAGGCCTCTCAGTCCCAGAACCCAGGGCCCGGGGCTCAACCCGAGCGAAGAAATTTCTAGTGTCCCGGGCGGGTTGGCGCGGCAGGCTCCGCCCTCTCTTTTGGGGCGGAACCTGAGAAGACCGGGCTGGAGGGGACCGGAGGTTGAAGATGGAGGCTAGTCGGCCGCGTTACCTCGTTCGCTGGGCGGTTGTTGAGCTAGTGGCCTACAACCCCCACCTGCCTTATGCGTGGCTTAGAGCCATCTTAAGGCTTGATATATTTAACAGTCTCTTTGGTAAGGAATTTTTACTCGCAGAGCACTAGTAGATCCCAAAAGCAAGGTCTTCTTGCCGTACAGCCTGCATAACTCCCTCCCTCCCTCAAGTAAATGACTGTCCCAGTGATGGAGACCGTCACTTTTTTTGAAAAGCACGCTATGCTTTATATTAAATTTATCTTTAGTATCTACGTATTTTTTCTCAGTGCATCTGAGTATACGTGTTAAATATTGGTATTCAAACTCATCGTTGATTTTCCTTTTTAGGCGTCCCTTTCCCTTGCACCTGTTAACATCTTCAAGGCTGGAGCTGATGAAGAGAGAGCAGAGACCGCTCGGCTGGTAAGCCTTGTTCTCCTGTTCCTTTAAAGATCCGATTGTACTTTTTGAATTTTAAGATTGTAAAATTGATTTTTACTTTCAATCTCTGATCTTGACTCCAGTCCTCTTTTATTGGTGCCATCGCTATTGGAGACTTGGTAAAGAGCACCTTGGGACCTAAGGGCATGGTAAGAAAAACAAGGAATTTTTATGTTTTCATATTGTTTTAGAGCCAAGGTGGAAATAGTTAATAACTCAATTTTGAGGGATTTTTTTTAACCTTGGAAAGTTAACTCTTATACACGTAAGACATGGATATATTCTTCTTGCTAAAAATTAAAAGTGCTTACACAGCTAAAGTCCTCTTGGATCACCATCTTGGATCCCCTTCCGAGTGGCAACCACTGTTATATTTGGATGTAAATCTTGCGTGTACTACTTCCGTGTCCTTTTTTTTGTAGGTTGCTTTTAAAAATTCCTTTCAGTGTTGATGTTTAAACTTTATATTTATTACCACACTGAGCGACACTTAGTTTGTTTCCACTGTTTTTGCTATCACATTGCTGAGACAACCTTGTTAAAGTTTCCCCGTTCTAGTGTTTTTAGGGGTAGACGCCAAGGTTTGCTTATGGAGTGTATGCATTGAAAAATTTGAATGGATACTGGCGAAAAGCCATCCAGAGTATTTATACATTAACAGTAAATGAGAATACGGATTGACCCATGCATTCTTCCAGATGTGTTTATATCTTGAACTACATGTTCCTTTCAGGATAAAATTCTGTTAAGCAGTGGACGAGACTCCTCTCTCATGGTAACCAATGATGGTGCAACTATTCTAAAAAACATTGGTGTGGACAACCCAGCAGCTAAAGTTTTAGTTGGTGAGTTTGAGGATGATAAGGTTTTTGTTAACATTTTGAAACATGTTTTTAAATAAGCTGTGTTGACTAACTACTTCTGATTAATTGATGTCTGTTTTTTAATTATCATTATTAAAATATAAGCTTCTGGGGTACCATGCAATTATTAATGATAAAACATTTCAGACTGAGAATTTCCAAAGAGTTTGTCAGGTGAGGGAACCTAGATAAGTGAGATTCAGGTTGGTGGTGGGGATGTTTGGAGAAATAGGTAAGCTATGGAAAAGTAATTTGGAATGCAGAATCCCATAAAAATGAGCTAGTAACTAGCTTCCTTTTTCTAGATATGTCAAGGGTTCAAGATGATGAAGTTGGTGATGGCACTACCTCTGTTACTGTGTTGGCAGCTGAATTGCTAAGGGTAAGAGTATCTGAGCAATTTTAACCCTTTATTCTTACTGTTTTTTTTGCTCTTGGGCTGGAAGTCATTGGGTCTTTCCTAAGTCTTTACTATTTTTTTAAGTTTGTTTTGAGAGAGAATGTGCGCATGAATGGGAGAGGCAGAGAGAATCACAAGCAGGCTCTGCTGACAGTAGAGCCCAAAGTAGGGCTCAGTCCCATGAACCAGGAGATCATGACCTATGATGAAATCAGCAGTTGGATGCTTAACTGACTGAGCCACCAGACGCCCCTTTATGTCTTTACTATTGACGAATGTTTTCTGCTGTTTATTAATAGGAAGCAGAATCCTTAATTGCAAAAAAGATTCACCCACAGACCATCATTGCGGGTTGGAGAGAAGCCACAAAGGCAGCAAGACAGGCTCTGTTGAATTCTGCAGTTGATCATGGGTTGGTACACCAAAATAATGCTGTTTTTAAGTGTTTAACTTTTTTTTTTTAAGTTTATTTCTGAGAGAGAGAATCTCATGAGCTGGGTTCCAGTCTTGGCGCTGGGCCTGACTCAGGGTTCAGTGTCATGACCTCAGCGGTCATGAGTCAAAATCAAGAGTCAGATGATTAACTGACTGAGCCATCCAGGTACCCCTTAACATTGTTTTCAAAATATGCTCCATACTAAAAGTCTGGAGAACAGTGAAAAGCATAAACAAACATGACCCTGTTGCCTCATCCTGCCCTGATAAAACCCACGTGTAGTTTGGGTTTCCAGTTTTCTGCATTTTTAATCACATACACACACAAATAGAATCATTGTGTAGAGGATTTTTTTAGCTTCTTACTTTGTTGAATAAGGATATTTCTAGGTGTCAGTATTTTCTGCAGTATTAGTTTTAATAGGGGTATGCATTTGAGTTTTTGACTGGTATAATTTACCTATCTAGAGTTGGAAATCTGTGTTGACTGATTGATAATTTTTAGATTTATAGTAATGTGATAAATTTCTTTCCCAAAAAAATGTTTCAAGAAGTGTAATTGGTGGGTCCAAAGGTATATGTGTATTTTAAGGCCTTTTTATTTACAAGTAATTCTAGAAAACATTAATTTTCTTTTCTAATATCTGTATCGCAAATACCTATTTTTCCTTGTTTGGAGGATTTGCTGTTCTTTTGTTTGCTTGTTTGTTTTTTTGTATTTTACCAGATAGGTAGCACATTAGTAACCTTTAATTTCATATTTCTTGATTATTGGTGGTGAGCTCTAATTCTTTTTCTGTGGCTTAGAGCCCTGACTGGGGTGAAATGATCTATTGACAACTATTTGGATAAATTTCGAAAAGAAAAATAGGATAATCTTTGGAGAAGCATTTTAAGAACAGTCATGAGTGTTCTGTTTTTTTTAGTTCTGATGAAGTTAAGTTCCGTCAAGATTTAATGAACATTGCAGGAACAACATTATCCTCAAAACTGCTTACTCATCACAAAGACCACTTTACTCAGTTAGCTGTAGAAGCTGTTCTCAGACTGAAAGGCTCTGGTAATTTGGAGGCAATTCATGTCATCAAGAAGCTAGGAGGAAGTCTGGCAGATTCCTATCTAGATGAAGGTATGTATATGTTAAATATGGGAAAACAGGCTTTGATCAGAGGCTGAGAGCTAAATAGTGAATCCTGTTTTTAGCTAGTCAGGACTAGTGACACTTTACAAGCCAGAAAATCTATCTTTAATAATACAAATACTATTATAACCATTTTTGTCATTCTAATCCATTTATTACACTTAGCTGTGTGCCTCATCTCACCCCATCCCAGGATTTCTTTCATAATCTCTAGGTTTTACTTTATACTGAGAACTTAACTACTTGTAGTCTCTAATGAAAAGAAGTTGCAGTTTTGGTGGAAGTCAGCTACTCTCAGATGGTACTTTTTCCAGGAAGGATTTGTGTTAAGTCCTATCATTTATCTGGTATAAGTATTGAGAGTATAGTTCCTGGTGTTTTACACAATGATAGATAAGTGTTAGCAATTGCTATTTCCTAACTAATAGTGTATTTTGTTTTTAGAGTATGAAGTTTTCAAAACATCTTTATATTGTATTTATTTCACAAAATGGCTTCTGGGGTCAAATGTGCAGGCGTTCTTTTCTGTAGAGGAGAAACAAGAACAAGTTGTGCTTTACCAGTGACTTGTACTCCAGGTTTTGCTGTATGTCATTTGTCTGTATTTCAAGAGAGTAACAATCCTGAAAATACTCTGGGTTGAATTTATATGTAAGGGCTGTGTAGCATTTCTAGAAGAGGCTAGTGGTAGGTGAGGATAATGAAACCAAAGATAGCCACCGTTCTTGAACGCTACATTCTTGAATGTTCTGTGCCAAGCATTCTAATAGGAAGTTTGGTTAAAATCTCATCCCTCATGATGTTGACCCAGTGATTGAGAATTAGGTTCATGTTAATAGGAAAGAAAACCCAAGATGAAAATAGCTTAAAAAAATAAAAATTATATATGCTTCTAAAAGAAGCTTGGAGAGAGAGTTCCAAATCATCAGGCCCATAGACTGGAAACTAGCATCTGTGCCACTGGTGATACTTTACAGATGACAAGCTAAGGTTGATGAATTTGTTCAAGATCGTGTACATAGCCTGTAAGCAGCATGGGCATGATTGGGGGCAGGTTCGTCTGACTCCATTGTACACGACTTTTTCATTCTCTTACCAGCTTCAGTGCTTCAAAAAGTTTAGTAATCTCTAGCAATACCTTGTTTTTCTGAATTCCTCAGTTTTTCTGTTGTGTTCGTTTTATTTAATTTTTTAATTTAATTTTATTTTTAATGTTTATTTTTGAGAGAGAGAGAGAGAGAGACAGCGTGAGCAGAGGAGGGTCAGAGAGGGAGATACAGAATCTGCAACAGGCTCCAGGCTCTGAGCTAGATGTCAGCACAGAGCCCGACGCGGGGCTTGAACCCATGAACTGTGAGAGTGGGACGCTTAACCGACTGAGCCACCCAGGCGCCCCTGTTGTGTTGGTTTTAAATGAAAGTGGATTTATTAGCATTGTGTTGTAATCCACATCTGCATATTTTGTATATACGTGGAACAAAAGTTTCAAAATACTATGTTTATTCTTTTTTCTTTTTGATTTTTTTTAATGTTTATTTTTGAGTGAGAGAGAGTGCGAGAGAGGAGGGGCAGAGAGAGGGGGACACAGAATCTGAAGCAAGTTCCAGGCTCTGAGGTGTCAGCAGAGAGCCCGAGGGGGGGGCTTGAATCTATCACCTTAGCTGAAGTCGGAAGCTTAACTGACTGAACCACCCAGGTGCCCCTTAAAAATAATGTGTTTATGTGTTGTGCTCTTACATTTCCACCTGTTGAATTGATTTTTATGATCACTGCTTTAATGGAATGCATTATAGGTTCTAGGAGCTTGGAGAATTGGACTCCTGTGTTCTTTGAAAGAGTAATTTGATAAAGCAGACATCTAAAGAAGATTTAGTAATATAACTTTGAAGTATTTAATACAATATTCTGTATTGTAGGCTTTCTGTTGGATAAAAAAATTGGAGTAAATCAACCAAAGCGAATTGAGAATGCTAAAATTCTTATTGCAAACACTGGTATGGATACAGATAAAATAAAGGTATGTTAATTACATTTCTTGGAATTCTAATTGTTAGTTGCTTTATAAATTCCAGGCTAGGAATCAATTGTACTCAAAAAAAAAAAGCCTAGAGTATATATGAATGTATTCAAAATAATTTCAGTGTATGTATGTGAAAATGTTTATGTTGAAACTCTTAAAGAGTAATGAAAGTGATACTGTTTTTATGCTTTCCTTTGTTTTAGATATTTGGTTCCAGGGTAAGAGTTGATTCTACAGCAAAGGTGGCTGAAATAGAACACGCAGAAAAGGAAAAAATGAAGGAGAAAGTTGAACGTATTCTTAAGCATGGGATAAATTGCTTTATTAACAGGTCTGTATGTGCTTTGCTAACAATATTTGTACTAATGTAATAAATGATTTATGTCTACAAAGGCTTATGGAAATACTTAATATTGAATTGGTGAATTGTTATTTCGAACAAGTAGATGTTTTTTCCAAGTAGAATTTTACCGTAAGTCATTTGTATTCTAATGATTTTGGTGATGCTTTATATTAATATACTTTATTAAACCTTTTTTTTTATTAGCAGTAACAATAGTTTTTTGATTCAGCAGTTACAGTTTTAGAGTTTTGGCCTAATTGGAGAGGTTCAATTCCATATCAAATTATTGGAGTTTGAAGTAGCAAAAAACTAATACCAAAGAAATAAAACAAGAATTAAGAGATGAAAAATATTAAAGGGCTTTGGTTTTAGGTAAACAGTTTATCTTTAGTTTTTTGTGTTTTTAAAAATTATTTATTTTGATTTTTCTTTTTAATGTTGATTTTTAAGAGAGAGCACTAGCAGGGGAGAGGCAGAGAGAGGGAGGCACCGAATCCGAAGCAGGCTCCAGGCTCGGAGCTCTTGGCACAGAGCCTGATGTAGGGCTTGAACTTATGAACTATGAGAGGGTGACCTGACCTGAAGTCAGATGCTTAACCGACTGAGCCACCAGGCGCCCTAAAGTTTATTTTTGAGACAGAGTGTGCACTTGTGCACAGATAAGGTAGGGGAGGGGCAGAGAGAGAGAGGAGACCGAGAATTCCAAGCAGGCTCCACACTGGCTGTCAGCACAGAGTCCTATGCAGGGCTTGAATTCATGAACTGTGAGATCATGACCTGGGCCGAAGTCATGAGTCACACTTAAACATTGACTGAGTCACCCAGGTGTCCCTTTTCTTTAATTTGTATGAAAGAGTATGTATACATTTTTCCTGTGTATTCTTTTCTTTTTTTTCCTCAAAGTTTATTTTGAGAGAGCATGCAAGTAAGAAAAGGGGCAGAGGGAGAGGGCGTAGAGAGACTCCCAAGTAGGCTCTGCTGTCACTGCAGAGCCCAAAGTCGGGCTCAGATCCATGAACCATGTGATCATGACTTGAGCTGAAATCAAGAATTGGATGTTTGACTGAGTCACTCAGACGCCTCCCCTCATGTGTTCTTAATTGTTAGTGTTTAAGGTGTTTTCATGGATTTGTTTTTCCCCCCACAAAGGCAATGGAAAAATTTTTTTTCAGTAAAACTAGAAGAGTCAATAAAAAGTGACCACTGGAAACGACTGTATCCACTCCAGTGGTCTGCAGCAGCATAACGTGGAATCTTTGTCCAGCTGGCAGGCATGCTGGGCCCCACAGCTTGCCTCCCTGCCTCTCAGGCCAGCTGCCACCTTTGGGGCCCTCATACAGGGCCAGACATCTAGGATCCAATAGTAGTGAGTGCCATTTCATGGTGAGGCCTAGAGGCAAGAACTCTGGACTGGACTTTTGGCAAGATGCCCTCTATTCCCTTTCCAGGTTCAGGGGCCCTGAAACCACTGCTTTGAATTCAGTTTGCTCATGTCCACCTCAGGGCCTCTAATGTGTCTAATTTTCCCTCAGGTTGGCTCCCTTGGATTGTTTTAAATGGTGAAAATGCCAAGAGGAACAACTTGGTTCTGTCAGTTAACTTTGGTTAACTTTGACAGTTAATAGTTGATGAAAAGTGATTGTTCTAGGCCAAGTGTTTGTGAGCTGTTTTTGTTTGTTTTAATGTTTGTTTATACTGTGAGAGCGTGTGCAGGGAGACGCAGAGAGAAAATCCCAACCAGACTCCATGCCACCAGCACAGAGCCCCATGTGGGTTCTATCTCACAAACGTGAGATCATGACTTGGGCCCAAATGAAGGCTCACACGCTTAACTGACTGAGCCACCCAGATGCCCTCATGGGTTTTTGAAGAAGTTACGTAAACTTCTGTGTGATCTTGAATCTGAGAAGATGCATTTTGTCTGACATTGCTTTTTACTAATTTTTTTTTTTTAGTGTTTTAGCCTTTTTTTTTTTTTTTTTTTAGTTTCAAACTTTTAAACATGTCTTTTTTATACTTCTGTTACAAAAATATTTCATTGGGATGCCTGGGTAAATCAGTTGGTTAAATGCCTGGCTCTTGGTTTCAGGTCTAGTTATGATCTCACATGTTGTGAATTTGAGCCCCACGTTGTGCTCTGCGTTGACAGCATGGAGACTGCTTGGGATTCTCCCCTCTCTGCCTCTACCCTGCTTGTGTACACTCTTTCTTTCAAAATAAGTAAACTTAAAAAAAATATCTCATTTTGGAAAATAGAAATGTATAAAGAAGGAACAGAATGTAAGGTCTGACCTTCCTTTTTAAATTACAAAGTTTTCGTAACTGATAAAGTGTGATCTGCACAAACACACTCCCAAAGTGAACATTGAGGTCATTGGCAGGTTTTGCTTTTCTATAAAATTTTTTATAAATATTATCATTAAAATCTTTTTAACGCTTATTTATTTATTAGAGACCGAGCATGAGCAGGGTAGAGGTAGAGAAAGAGGGAGACACAGAATTCTAACCAGGCTCCAGGCGCTGAGCTGTCAGCACACAGCCCGTCGCGTGGCTCGAACTCAAGAACCGTGAGATTGTGACCTGAGCCGAAGTCAGATGCCTGACCGACTGAGCCACCTAGGCACCCCTGACATGATTTTTGATGCATTTTTGCTACATTGCTTTTCAGAATTATGGGTCTAGTTTATCCTATTAGTTAGCAATATAAAATAAATACCTGTTTTCAGTACTAGCATGGATGCACTAAGTTTTGTAATTTATAAATTACTGTATATGGAAGATATGGTATTTTCTAATTTGTATTGGTAAAAATGGTTCCATGTTTTTTAGTCTGTTATATTTTAGACTTGTGAAATAACAATTTTGAACAATATTTTTATTTATAGGCAGTTAATTTATAATTATCCTGAACAGCTCTTTGGTGCTGCTGGTGTTATGGCTATTGAACATGCAGATTTTGCAGGTGTGGAACGCTTAGCTCTTGTCACAGGTATGGGAAAAAGGCATTAATTTCTAACCAACACTAATCACTCTTGGATTAAATGTTAATGTATGGAACTTCTTGCTGAGAGTACAAAGAAATACTTAGAAAATAAACCATTACTCTGAAATCTGATTTATAGCCTTTTGACATCTTTATGTTGTCTTAGTACGCCAAATTATATGCCAGGTTTGCCATCCCTGTTTTTGTTATATTGTTTGAAGATACTAGATCTTTCCTCACAAACCCACAGGACCTTTGTTCTATATCTAAAGAAAATAAAGCTTAAAAAAGGAGTGTTAGGGTTTGTCTAGTTTATTTTTAATGCTGGATAGTCCAGTGCTTTGTGCCACTTGGTAGTAAGTTACACTCGTAACCTTTACTGAACACTTAACTATATGTCAGAGAATGGGTCAAGTGCTTACACATTTTTTTTTAATTCTTTTAAATTTGTGGAAGTAATCAATGTTGAAATAAGTGAAACAGTTCAGTAATGAATAATGAAGAATTCGTATATGCTAATACCCTTTGGTAGAGATAGGAGTTTCATAATCCCAGTTGTGCAGAATAAAAATACATTCATGAGTAAGATAATGTCTACATCAAAATGACACAGTGTAATTTGTTTATATTAGGGTAATAGTTTTTAAAGTAACCTCTAAGTAGCCCTTGAAAGACTAAGTATAGCAGCCTATATGCTCTAATTTTTAGGCCCTTGAAAAGAAATGAATATGTTGGAAAGGTGGTTTGGGATCTGGCAATGAAAATTTAAGGGGAGGGATTTGAGATGTAAAGGCACTAGGAAAGTCGAATTTTCAAGTGCCATGAGTGTTAGAAATAAAAGTATACTAACTATTGGAGAGGGTAGAATTGGTTTCATCACAGTAGCTTCTTAAGCCATTTTTAATCTTTTGAGAAGTGTGGTTTTCTTCTGACTTAAAAAGAGACTTGTTTCTTTCAGAACTACTTTGAAATGGGTTTATTCTTCCATTAATTATTTTGAAATAGGTTTACTTTAATTAAATTTCTTTAAGAGCCATTACATACTTGATGCTTAAGGTAATAAAACTTCAGGTGTAATTCCTCCTTTAAGATAACAAAATTAAAGATACAGTGGAAGAAGTAAATGTGAATGATAGCATGTTCGTGGGAGAAGTTGATCTCCAAGTCCTAAGGACTTGATACATGAAATTGCCACATATACTCAGAAGAAAATTCATTGCACCAAGCACACCCAGCTGTGAAGTTGATCTGGCCCTGTTGGTGCCTCCTATCTTTAGCTTACTTGTCAAGATGTGTGAAATTGGTTCTCATAAATGTCAAGTATATACATATGTATTTTTCCTAAGCCTGTATACAGAAGCGAATGAATTAAGATAAATGAAAATTCTCATAAGCCAAATCAGTCTAATTTTGGAGGTGTGATGTCCCAAATCCATTGTCTTACATCTAGAACACAAAGCAGTCTCAGGAATTGGCTAATCAAAAGTTAAAATAACTTCAGCTGTACAGATGAATATAAATCAGTGTAAAAAGGACCCAGAGTCCTTATAAATTTCTTTGTAAAATAGATATAAAGCATCAGTTATTCAGAGTTACAGTAAGAAAATAGGAAGAAAGTAGTTGGTTGATGGTAGAGGGAATCCATTTTACTAGAAGAGAGTAATGAACTAGAGAAAAAGATTTTAAAAATGGAGGCTTAACTTTTTCCTGGCCTAATTAAGAACCAGGAAGAAAAAAATGGTCAAACCTTTCAGTTTACACCATGGAAGATGGAGGGAAAATAGGAATAGAAATAAGACGTAGAAATAAAAATTTCTTGACACTTCATTAGGTTTGCTCTGGGAAATTTTCAGTGTACATTTCCCTTTTTCTAGGCTTTACAGGGGCTTTCTGAGATTGTAGTTAATGTGATGATTAGCAGGTAACAAAATAGGTGCTCCTTTAAGCAGTTTCTAAGGTCTACATCTATTGAATAATAGAATTAGTCAAATATTTTCATGTTTTGGGAAATTGAATCATAAGGATACTGGTCTTCTAGACAGGGTTCAAAAGGGAATCTGAATTTAAATTCAGATCAAACAAAAGTTGATGTTAAAGTCCCAATTTAGCCTTTGGGAAATAGTATTCTACATTATGCATGTATAGGTCTAAAGAGACTGCTTGGATTCAAATTCCACTTCACCATATTTGTTAGAGCTATGTAACCTTCCACAAGAAACTAAATACCTCTGCCTCAATTTTATTATTTCCGTGTCAGATAATAAGAATATCATTCATGGGGTGAGAGTTGTAAAGATTAAATAATTAGTTTATATGAAGTGCTTCAAAGTGTTTGGCATATAGTAAGCAGTCCACTTATTAAAAATGTCAGTTCATTAGTTCTTCTTGGAAAACAAATTTTTAAATGTGCTGTGTATTTAATTAATTAATATGTACGTATGTTCATAGGTGGTGAGATTGCCTCTACCTTTGACCACCCAGAACTAGTGAAGCTTGGAAGTTGCAAGCTTATTGAGGAAGTCATGATTGGAGAAGATAAACTCATCCACTTTTCTGGGGTAGCACTTGGTGAGTGATTTTATAGATTCTGATTTAGGTTCCTAAATCTTTGATGGTCTCTGTTGAAGTTTAAAGAAATAGTTACTATATTTATTAGAATATGATGTGTCTTAAGTTTTAAGAAGCATGATGTATATTAGTTTCAGTTTCTTTTGAGGTCAGCTTCATCTTAATCTTGCCTTTGTGAACAGTATATTCAACATGATTGTTTTCTAGGTACCTTAGAACTATTGTGAACATGGATTATTAGCAAAAGGAATGTACAGTAGCAGAGGCCATGTCTGCTTTTAAAACCAAAGGATAATTATAACCAATATCTACATAAATACTAGAAGGCAGACTCTTACTTTTTATAGCTAAGTGTTCACGGTGACCTAAGAATCTTTTATCTTTTAACTTAAGGTGAAGCTTGCACCATTGTTCTGCGTGGTGCCACTCAACAAATTTTAGATGAAGCAGAAAGATCTTTGCATGATGCTCTTTGTGTTCTTGCCCAAACTGTGAAGGATTCTAGAACAGTTTATGGAGGAGGTAAGCATTTTAAAAATACTGAACATGTTTTATTAAAGTAAAGTAATGGTTTTGGCTTTAATGGTCTTTAGAAAGTTTGTATATAGTGCTTTTGCATTTAATCTTCAAATGTTTGATGTATCTTAAGGGAAATGAGTAATTCAGTGTCTTGGAGATAAAACAGATATTTTATTGGAATTTCGTTTTGCTCGGCAGGCTGTTCTGAGATGCTGATGGCTCATGCTGTGACACAGCTTGCCAGTAGAACACCAGGCAAAGAAGCTGTTGCAATGGAGTCTTTCGCTAAAGCACTGAGAATGGTAAGTTGGTAAAGAGATCTGAACTCTGTTTTGTGAGTATTGACGGTTTCTTAAATGAATACATTTTTCTATCTTGGACATGTTTGCTTTTTTGGCATTAAGAAAGCTGGTTCACATCACTTAAATTTGATTCTGGAGTTATCTTTTCTATGTACAGTATAATTAAAAGGAACACTTTTACATTGTTTCTAAATGTATAATTTTAAGAAGCTGTCCTACTCAGGTAAATTTTTTTTTTTATAGAATAGTTACTATTTGTTTTTCTCACCTTCCAGTTGCCAACCATCATTGCGGATAATGCAGGCTATGACAGTGCAGATCTGGTGGCGCAGCTCCGAGCTGCCCATAGTGAAGGCAATACAACTGCTGGACTGGGTAAGAAATCACTTGAAACCTTGTAGTAATTAAGAGCATCTTTACCAAGTTATTCTTCATGTGTTTTTCCCTTTTAAATGAATTCTCATAACAACCATAGAAAAGATTCCTGCGGCCCTTGCCTCTGTAACTGCTTCATGTTTTAGGAGAATGTTTTAATTTCCCATTCTCAACACTGCCAGGACTGTTACTCCGTAAAAGGTTTAAAACTAATTAGAAGAGTTGTAACTAGTTTATCATGTGATGACTGTGTGATTGAAATACATAAACAATACTAATACTTTTAAACAAGTGTAAACTGTATTAAATTTCTTACAGTATAATCCGCGTTAAATTCTAATCTCCCAGGAAACTCATTATGCAACATTCTTGAGTGTACCTCTTTGATACATAGATAAAAGTGGCCAAAAGGAAAGATTTTAATTCAAATTGAAAAATTTCCCAATAAACTGTCCAAAACAGAGTAAGAGGGAGATAATCCTGGCAGAAGAGCGGTAATGAAAATTGTTAGGAAGAGAAGTAGGGATTTTCACAAGAAGAAAAATAGATGACGCCTGAATTCCCTTCCAGTTTTAGGGATCCATGGTGGGGACACCTGGCTGGCTCAGTTGGTAGAGCATGTGACTCTCTTATCTCGGGGTTGTTTGAGCCCCACATTGGGTGCAGAGATTACTTCTAAAACTTAAATCTTTAAAAAAAATCCACGGTAATGAGGGACAAGCACGTTTTCTGTAGTAATTGTATTTTTATTTTTACAATTACTTATTTTGAGAGAGAGAGAGAGAGAGAGAGAATCCCAAGCAGGCTCTGTGCTGTCAGCACAGAGCCCAGCGTGGAGGTCAGTCCCATGAACCATGAGGTCATGAACTGAGCTGAAAGCAGGAGTTGGAGGCTTACCTGACTGAGCCACCCAGGTGCTCCCTGCAGTAATTTTACATATACGTGTACATAAGCATACACATGTGTATATATATGTACATAGGTAAAGATAGGTGATTGAGGGGCACCTGGGTGGTCCCATCAGTTAAGTGTGGACTCCTGGTTTCAGTTTAGGTCATAAACTTGCAGGTTGTGAGTTCAATCCCCATGTCGGGCTCTTCACTGACGGTATGGAGCCTGCTTGGGATTCTTTCTCCCTTTCTCTCTGCCCTTCCCCAGCTTGCTCTCTGTCTCAAAATAAATGAATAAACTTAAAAAATAAGAAAAAGTGTTCTATATTCGTTTTCCCTTTGACCTAGTTGTCTTCCATTAATACAGATGATAAGTAGTTGACCTTGTAATTTTCTTTTTTTTTTTTTTTTTTTTTTTTTTTTTTTTTTTTTTTTTTTTTATATTTTTTTTTTTTTTTTTTTTTTTTTTTTTTTTGACCTTGTAATTTTCTAAAAGGCTTTGAGTGGTAGGCTAATAGACTGCTTTAATTAAATTGAATAGTTGGGTCTTGTGATCTCATTTTTATAACCGGATTTATTATATTTGTAAGTCATTAGAGATATTTTGATAATTTAGTTAAAACTCTGGTTGTTTACTTAGTAAATACTTTGTCTTTTTTCAGATATGAAGGAAGGTACTGTTGGAGACATGGCAGTACTGGGTATAACAGAAAGTTTCCAAGTAAAGCGACAGGTTCTTTTGAGTGCAGCTGAAGCAGCAGAGGTGATTCTGCGTGTGGACAACATTATCAAAGCAGCACCAAGGTATTGTGGGACTTTAACAAACATTTCTTAGGAAAAATTATTTTTTTTAATTATTACTATTATTTTTTAATGTTTACTTAGAGCGTGCTCTTGTGAAGGAGGGGCAGAGAGAAGGGGAGAGAGAGAATCCCAAGCAGGCTTTGCACTATCAGGGTACAGCCCAGGGTGGGGCTTGATCCCATTATCCATGAGATCATTACGTGAACCAAAGTCAAGAGTTGAATGCTCAACCATTTAGCCACCAGGCACCCCTCTTAGAAGAAAATTAACACAGAAGCAAAAAATAGATAATTGCATGTAGTTGGTAATTGTAGTTGATAGAGCCATTTCTCCCCAACTAAAAGTATTGTGCACATTATTTAAAATATGTAGTCATGACTCTTCTATTCTGGGTACACTTTTTCATATAGGTAGTCTTAAGTACATGATATGCAGAGTTCCTTACATGTTCCCATTTTGGCAGTTTTTCTAAGATACCAAATTTTTTCAGAAACTCATTTCATGTAAAAACATGGTTAGCCGGAAAATCTTCTAGAGATTTCGTTAATTGTTCTTAGTAGTAGTTATTAAAACATTAATTTTGTTAAAGTGGTGGTTCATGAACATTGAGAGGGCATGGTGGCTTGCACCAGGAGATAGAGGTGAGGGTGGTCTGGAGATATTGATCATAGATTTTGAAGGTAGAGCCCACAGACTTTGATTATGGGCTGGATATAAGGTATAAGGAAAGGGAATGAAGGATAATCCAATCCAAAGTTTTTGTTGGGAAAAATAAGAATTTCTCTTTTCTGAGTGTCTTGTGAATGGTAGCTAGAGGACGTTTGGGTCTTTACTGTGAATGTTCAGTGCTACGTGGAGTGATCTCGTAGTGGGGATGGATGCCGAAGGAGGGAGTATAGCCCACTGAGTAGCTGTGAGAAGGAGTCGGAGAATGAAAGGGGGCTGCTGGTTTTAGTTGGAAGCACGGGGAGTTCGTGCCTGGGAACAGGAGGGAAATAGGAACATCCTTAGGAGATTGCACCTTAAAATGGACTGAGTACAAGGAATTTCCTTGTGCAGCACCCACTTCCGTGGCTTTCTTCTATTGTGTCCCATTACCATTAGAAGAAGAAAGGAATAGAAAGTAGTGATTTGGTTGTGGAAAGAAAAGAGGAAATAGTATTTAAATCTGTGGTGTAGTGGAAGCAGGACTGGGCTGAAAAATCTAAAGATTCTCTATGGTAGGGAAATGAGCGGTCATTTTGAAATGGAAACTTGCTGAGGAAAGGAGAAATTGAAAGTTTTCTTGGAAGGTGAGTCAGCAGAGATGGTTGTAGAGTTCTGTTTTCTGCTGATAGCAGAATGATAGTAAAAGGAAACTGGTCTGTGAAGTTGTCTTTACAGGTCACATAATCACACCTGTCCTCAGAAGTCTTAACAATGACTTGACACCCTCAACTGCATTAGTAATACATGTTGTAATACACACGTACATACATGCTGTAGTACATACTGTTTTAGTGGTTTAAGTATCTATTAAGTTTAGTAGACGTTCTCAGTAATTGCAGTGAAGAAACATGAATAATTTTGTTTAACTCCGCCTTCCCAAACATACTGGACTGGCGACTCTTCACACGCATTGTTTACCAGGGGACTCTTGTTCCCTTCCAGAGCAGTTCCCCTCTGACAGTTTGCTTGATAACTTTCTGTAGTGACATCTTTTAGCATCCTTTCGTCCTACTTCCGTAAGCTTCCAAGGTTGAAAGATTTTTCCCCTTACGTGGTCCCAGTATACTCTTTCAATGTTGTTACACTTGTTCCGCTTCTCTGGAATGATTGCTATGCTCATCTCTAGAAGCAGGGCTTACACAGGCAGCAGGTAAAACTCTGTAGTACCTCTGCCATGCCTCCTTCCTGAGAGATTTATTATTTTCTTGCCAGAGAATAAAAAGTGTAGCATCTAAGATGTATATGAAAGGCACTGTTGACATACATTACTGAATTTCCCAGCATTTCTTTTCATTCATTTAGAATAGCAATCCAGAGAATTTTCATCTAGAGGCCCCAAAGCCTTGTCATCCTACAACTTCTGCTTAAGAGTATCTGTCTTTGTCTTTGACTAATTAAGTAGGAATTCCTTAACACATTTGCTGAAAACATGCACTAACCTTTGAATGGAGAATATGTATTTGTTAAGTAGGTTGTTGGGATGAGAAATTGAGAATTGCTAAATACCTACAGGTCTTCATGTTCCACAGATTTGTAATGTCATCTTACAAATACAGTAATAATTGAGGAATGTTATTTATGAGGTAGAAACAACATCCTTGTCACGGACAACTGGTTATAATGGTTTTAATAAAATTAGGATTCTAGCTGTGTTTGTATTTGCTGTAAACCTTTGGTTCCAGTCATGCTTTTCATCTTTACCGTTGCCTTTTTCCTAAGTGTTTGTTTTATAATCCTTGCAGGAAACGTGTCCCTGATCACCACCCCTGTTAAACATTCCCATGTGCTATTGCACTCTGGACCAGGTAGTTCATAGCAAAGTTGTGTTTGAAAGACTTCGACCTCTTAAAGAAGACTGTGGAATCGAAGTTTATCTGTGGCTCTTATATCCTTAAGTTTGGACATTTAACTGACCTTCTATTTTAACATGGGTCTAATTTATTTGCTGTTTCATTTTCCATAAAATTCAGTTGATTTAAAAGTTCATTTCTCATGCTCTGCATCAAAATAAAAATTTGAAAAGTTATCTCTTCTTACCTGTTAGTGTTTTGTACCCTGTTTTTATTTATTTAATGGGAGCAAATGATTAAATTCTCTGTATAGGGTTCACTAATGATTCAGCTTCACTAATGATTGACCTTACAGGATTATGAAATATCAAGTCCAAGTCACACATGATAAATATAGGTTAATCTCTTGGCTTTTAATCATATATAACTTTTCTTAGCCATAATTTTATTTAGTGAAAGTACTTATTTGGGGCACCTGGGTGGCTCAGTTGGTTAAGCGTCCGACTTCGGCTCAGGTCATGATCTCACGGTTCGTGGGTTTGAGCCCCGCGTTGGCCTCTGTGCTGGCAGCTAGCTCAGAGCCTGGAGCCTGCTTCGGATTCTGTGTCTCCCTCTCTCCCTGACCCTCCTCTGCTCACACGGTCTCTCTCTGTCTCTCAGAAATAAATAAAATTTTTAAAAAGTACTTAATTTTGTATAGTCTAAGTACCATTTCTTACATAGGAAACAGTAATGGTATAAATGTTACTTCCAAGTTTGAAAGAGTCCCATATTATTTATTTTTTAAGTGTTTAATTATTTTTGAGAGACTGTAGGAGAGGGCCAGAAAGAAGGGGACAGAAGGATCTGAAGCAGGTTCTGTGCTGACAGCAAGCCCGATGTGGAGCTGAACTGTGAGATCATGACCTGAGCCAAAGTTGGACACTCAACCAATTGAGCCATCTAGGTGCCTGAAAGAGTCCTCTGTTTGTTGTTGTTATTGTTCATTTCTGAGCGCAAGTAGGGGAGGAGCAGAGAGAGTGGGAGACACAGAACTCGAAGCAGGCTTCAGGTTCCACACTGTCAGCACAGAGCCCAATGTGTGGCTCGAACTCATGAACCGTGAGTTCATGACCAGAGCCGAAATAACTGACTGAGCCACCCAGTTGTCCCAGAAAAGTCCTCTATTTTAAAAGTTGCTTTATGGGGCGCCTGGGTGGCTTAGTCGGTTAAGCGTCTGACTTTCGCTTAGGTCACGATCTCACGGTTCATGGGTTCGAGCCCCGCGTCGGGCTCTGTGCTGACTGCCAGCTCAGAGCCTGGAGCCTGTTTCAGAGTCTGTGTCTCCCTCTCTCTCTGACCCTCTCCTGTTCACGCTGTCTCTCTCTATCCTAGAAATAAAAAAAAAAATAAAAAAAATATTAAAAAAAAAAATAAAAGTTGCTTTGTTACAAGCTGCTTCTCGCACCTTTGATGCTTTAAAGGGTAATATCCTTTTTAAGAAGATGGATGTGGTTAGATTAAGCATTACTGATTGTTGTTAAAGCTTTTTGGTTTTGGCAAGTGGTGGAGAATGAGAGAGAATGGGGATAGGCATGTACTTAGTTAATGCTTTAAAGGTGAATTTAGGTTTAGAAGTTATTTTACTACATCAGTATATAGCAGAATGCCCAAGAAATAGGAAAGCGCAGCAGTGGGTTATGAGTTTTTACAGGGTATCTTTGCTAGCTTAATGGAGGGACATCTTATTTCTATAGAAGAGCAAAAGTGTTTTCAAAGAAACACTAATAAAACCACCTGTTCTGTTGGGGTTTTGTTTTTTTGAAGTAGACTCTATGGGGTTTGAACTCAAGATCCTTAGATCGAGTTAACATGCTCTCCTGACTGAGGTTGCCAGGTGACCCCAACCTGTTTTGTTTTTGTCTAAAAAGTTTGTCTCCACATTTTAATACTACTTTTGTAGAAGCTATTAAAACGAGGAAAACTTGGTTTTCTTTGTTGTGGTACTAGTTTATGTCCTCTGACGTTCACATAAAAGAGGAACTTTTCCTGAGATTATCAGAGAATTGCACTGATCCTTTCTTAAGTACTTATCACATCATGACATCAGCTTTCAGCTGGAACAAGTGAGCATATCATGACCAAGGAAACTACAGGTGCCCATAGAAGTGGGTTTAAATAGCTGTCTTGAGGTATTAGATACCTCAGTAAAATCTGAATCTTAAAGGATACTTGGGCATGTGCTCTAAAGGTCTTAAAAAGACTACACCAGTGTCCATCTAAAAAGAGGTAGAAACTTGGGAGCCTCATTGTTACATCCGAGAATAACCCATGCCTCTTTCCCTCTTTGAATTCATATCCTTTGAAACCCTTAACAGATTTTGTCATAAACCTAGATTATCTCAACTTTACAAATTTTAATGTCTTTTCACTTTCAGAGGTTAAATAAGCAACCTAGGCTATTCTATAATTCCTAAAACAGTTTTAGGATAGTTTCTTCTAACTTAAACAGTAAATATGGAAGCAGTGATTTTTTTTTTTTTTTTTGGCAAAATTTTTGTGACATGGAAATAGAGATTTGGAATGTATGTTAATAGTGCCTGCAGAAAAAATTGAGTACTTAGGATTTTTAAATCTATTCTAGGCACTGTGTGTTAACTAAAATTAAAATAATAATAAAAAACCTAGGTAACTTGCAATTTTCCTTTGAAGGATAATACGTATATTGGTAATTCTTCCTATCCCCAAGCCAGGGTCCATTCTTTTTGGCCCCTGGGAGGCCACGGGCCCGCTCACCTTTGCTGACTGTCTCACAACTTTCTGTGGTTTAACCCAGGAGGCATGGCAGGGTATGGGGATAGGCATTTGGTAGTTTCTTCCTACGTGGCTCCCTCTTTCTCTTTGGAGATGGCTGCGTGTCCCTGTGAGACCTACTACTATAGCTTCGCTGGTAGACGTCCTCTCCCCCTTTACTTTTTAAAATTTATTTTGAGAGAGAGTGCATACTCACTTGTTGGAGGGGTGGAAAAAGGGAGAAAGAATCCCAAGCAGGCTCCCCAGTGTCAGCACAGCCCAATACAGAGCTCAGTCTCACAAACTGAGAGATTATCACCTGAGCCAAAATCAAGAGTCAGACGCTCAACCAACTGGGCTTCCCCAGCACCCCTGGTAGCCTCTTTTCTCATTCCTTTTAGCTCTTAATAGATAAAGGTAACATTTCCCTGTTCATCTAGCCTCACGAGTGGCAACTGCTGCTACACTGGCTGTCTCAGTATTATCTTGAATTCCCTCTTCTCCCAGTCTTGTCTAACAGTATTTCTTTGTTAAGGTCTCTCCATGTAAAACCATATGGGATGAATGCATTTTCTTGCCAGGACCCTGACCGATAAAAGTCAACAGAATACTCTTGTACAAAATCCTTTTTTAAAAAAAAAGGTTTTTTTTTTTTTTAACATTTTTATTTATTTCTTAGAGACACAGAATGAGCAGGGGAGGGTCAGAGAGAGAGAGGGAGACACAGAATCCGAAGCAGGCTCCAGGCTCTGAGCTAGCTGTCGGCACAGAGCCCGATGTGGGGCTCGAACCCACGAACCGTGAGATCATGACCTGAGCCAAAGTCGGGCGCTTAACCGACAGAGCCACCCAGGTGCCCCCAAAATTCTTAAAGTCTATCTTGTCTTGCACCTGCTCTAGTATATTAGAACATCAATAAAAGTGTAAAGAGGACTTAACGTTTTTTTAATCATAAAATTACTATAGGATGTTTCAGGTTGTCAGAATAACAAGGACAACCCAGATTTCAGATTTCTGTATTTTATTTGTAATGTTTTATTTTTGAGAGATCATGAGTGGGGGAGAGGCAGAGAGAGAGGGATAGGGTCTGAAGTGGGCTCCATGCTGACAGCTGAGAGCCTGATGCAGGCCTCGAACTCGGAACCAGGAGATCATGACCTGAGCTGAAGTTGGTCCCTCAACCAACTGAGCCAGGCGTCCCATCAGATTCCTTATTTTTAAACTGAGCAGCACCTAACACTTCTTTCAAAGGTTTATTGAATAGGTTATGTGAATTAATTTACACAAGACCCTGAAGATAGTACCTGACTGCCCTATAGTTGTGCTCCATAAATGTCTGTCCCCCTATGCTGTGGGCTTGGGTGTATGATAAAATCTCCAAAATCCAGGTGAACATGGAAGAATTAATACTGGGCACTGAGGATTCAAAATTTGTTTCCTATTCTCCAGAAGTGGGTCGTCTAGAAAGGAAGAAAAGCATGTAAATGTAAGTTTTATAAATAGCACTAATACTCTCTACAGTAGTGAATTAGGTGTATATATACCGTGACAAAAGGCAGAGAGTAATGCCCAGCAGACACATACCCGTGTCTTCAGTCCCAGGCCTCCGGCCTCTCAGGATACATGGGTTTCGTGTCAAGAAATAGTCACGTTTTCAAGTATGTACTTTGGTGATTTTGCATATTCTACAGTAACATAGGAAAAGGGCAAAGTTTATTCATTTAGAAATTGAGTAAATCTTTGATAATCGTGTTGGTGTATTTTCCCAATTAAATAAGCCAGAAGCCTTTCATCACATTGCTGTTCTTTTTCTTATATTCAAGACTATAGCTACTGTTGGTGAAAGTTTTACCGAGCCAGAAAAGGCCTTTCTGTTCTATTGCCATCATACTTTTTCCTTCAACCAAGGAATTACACTGCTTGTAAATAGAAGTACCGTGCTGGATGGTGTGACACTTTGTAAAAAGAACATGTTCTGTAAACATTAGCTGTTCCCTGCCAGGCACTATTCTATGCGTGTTTTACACAGTACTTTGGTTGATCCTTACAGTGCCTTCAAAGGTGGAAATTTACCATTTTACTGATGAGTAACATGAGATACACGGATTGTAAGGGACTAGAAAATGGCAAAGCTGGGATTTGAACTCATGTAGTTAGAAAAGCCATGCTCGTAACCGTCATACTACACTGCTGCTGCGTGACTGCGTGTAGGATATGTGCTTCTATTTAAAATTTACGTATAGTTGATTTTTAGGGCACAAGTCCACTTTTAGGTGTGAGATAATGAACTGTTAGTGATGTTGCATTTTAGGACAAAAGAAAGATTTTAGTTGGCATCACTTGTATTTAGAGAAGCTAAATAAAACCCTGTATAAATTGAAAGGTTTTTCTCCAGTGCATAACATTTTGTGTTGCAGGGCTTTTAAAATTATGAGTAGAAAAGTTACATTTGGTGCTTCATTTTCCTCTTTTTAACTTTGCAGTTATGTCAGAATTAAAAAAAAAAACAGTGGTATGGGAATGTTAATAGACATTTACATGTGTTTTTTTTTTTATAAAATTGACTGAAACCCTATAGTGAAAACATTTTTAGATAGCAAAATCAGTGATGAACATTTAACCATTGACTGGGAAGTGTTCTGTATTATTTTAGAAGGAAACCATTTGACTGCGTGCCAAATGTTTATCACTTGACAGTTGATTCAGACCACTTAAGCTCGTTAGATGTGAGCCCTGTACAGGTCAGTTAGCTTCACGCTGCTTTATGGTTGTAGCCTGTGGTTGTTCTGGAAAAGATGGGTGCATCAATCTTTGGAGGAGGAAGACGGGGTCAAAAGAAAAAGTCCGAGCCATCCATAAGGCTGGCTGTGGACCCAGCTTAGAGGCAGTTTTCTTAGCATAAAGTTTTAGCCTCAACAGAGTATAGTTTCGTTTGTCATTACGCATGAGAAAATAAACTATAAATCCTAGCTGTCCAGTGCGAATCTGGACGCATTATGAAATGAGTTAAATATTTGAAAACCTATTACATTTAAGATTGAAGGGATCTGTTACTCTAATCAGTAGGTTGCAGATATTCTACAGACTGGGAGGTGGCAACAGAAAGAGATTATGTGATAACAAACTTTTTCTTTGGTTTAACAAGAAATATTTTATGGTAGGAAAACACATGAAAATGGTCTGTTGTGTAATGTCATTCCAGAACCAAACTTTGCTGGGTTAAGGTGCTTTTATAGCAAAAGTAACTTTTTAAAAGCCAAGCAAGCACCTGTAAGCTATAGTTAAGATGACACTTTTCCTTGCTGAAAAGGTTCAAGAACATAAAGGACGGTGTTACTAAATCAACCACTGACAGCAGTATCTTTTAAGGTTGATGTATTTGTGGGAAGAAGAAAAGGTCACCACTTAAAAAAATGGCCAAAATGTTTAAGCTTATACACTGACCATCAAAAGACATTATCTACAAAAATCAAATCTGAACAAAGGCTAAGAAACTGAGGCTAAAGCAGAAGCATCTGCAACCTGCAACTCAGATTTCCAAATGCTTGTTTCAAGTAAACAGATTTCTCACCTGCTACCTTTAAGCTAATGTGATCCTGGAAAGTGGGTTCCCTCCATGGAAGGGGATTCAGTTCAGCTCTTCTCCGTAAATGTGAATAAACAGAAGGGCTCTACGGAGGCAGGCAAGTTACGAGGCTCGATTTTAATAAGACCACATTGCCAACGAGAAGTTCTACTTTCTGGAGGACTTCTAGCATTATAGTGACAGTAAGCAGTTGAGAACAGACCTAGGGTCAAACCTTGAAATTTAGGGAAAACAAGTTAAGTCGGCATGAACCACTGTCAAGTGTATAAGGTGACAGCCGGACTCCGCCAGGAGCTATTTTCTATCCAAGGACTCAGCATTCACTAAACTGCAGGGCGAAAGCTTCATCTGGAGCCTTTGCAACAGCGTGGAGTCTGTGAGCCTGACTGGGTAGAAATGTCCTTTGTAAGTGGCCTGAATAAGTCCTAGTTTCATACCACTTATGGTCATTCCTAGTAATAATATATTCTGCAAAGGACTAGAGCCAGGCCACCTGAACTCTTAGGTGAATTCTTGAGTAAATACCTTGTTTGAGGAGTTCGTGAGTGTCCTGACCAGGCACTTCTGGAGTAGAGGACAGAACGCCCTAGCCCTTCTTACTCTTCAGTGTTGCAAAATACCTGTTTGGAGGGGCTCATCTGCTTGCAGAGAGTGAGGCTGCCCATAGCACACAGCTTTGCTTTGGGAGAGATGTTGGCCAGAAATTCTCTCTTCTCAGTGTGATTGAGGCATTTTTTGTGACCTCATCACTCCCCACTGGCAGAGGCGTCCCACGGGTCCCAGGGCAATCCTGTATGCTCTAAAGGAGAGGTCTCCAGAAGGTGCTGGAGTTGGATCCTTGGCATTGACCTACAGCGAAGCTCCTCACGAGTTGGGAGGAAGAAGTAGAGGAGGCAGGGCAGGTGTGTCTCCCTCCTGACTTTCCTCCCTGGCCAAGGCATAGCGTCTGGCTTTTCTGGGGTCAGGCTCTGGCGTCTCCTCTGCCCATCTTCCCACGCGGCGCACGCCTTTGGCCACCTTGGGTGCGTTCCTGCAGGGATTGTGGTCATAGATGACCAGCTTCAGACTCGACAGGTGGGCCAGGCTGGGGAAGTAACGGATGCTGTTCCTGTCCACGTCGATCACCTCCAGAAAGGGCATGTGCAGCAGCACCGGGGGGAAGTCAGTCAGCAGGTTGCCCGAGAGCCAGATGGTCCTCAGCTCTCGGAGGCGCTGGAGCTGGCCCGGCAGCAGGCGCAGGGAATTGGAGCCGGCGTGCAGGGTCTTAAGGAGACGCAGCTCACAGACCACATCTGGCAGCCGCGTGAGGCAGTTGGCCTCCACCCACAGGGTCCGGAGATTCTGAAGCAGCCTCAGCTCACTGGGGAGGTCGCACAGTTTGTTGTTCCCCAAGTAGAGGATGCAGAGCTGTTTCAGAGTACACACCACCTGGGGCAGAGCCTTGAAGTTGTTGAAATCCAGGGCCAGGATCTGCAGATTCTGCAGCTGCCCCAGCTCAGGAGGCAGGCTGTTGAGGTGGTTGTCACTCAGGTAGAGCTTGACCAGCTCTCGGAAGGAGCACACGTGCCCGGGGAAATGGCGTAGCTGGTTCCCACTCAGATCTACCATCTTGTCTACTGGCATCTCCCGGAGGTCTCTGACCACGTAGTTCTGACAGCAGTCAGCGGGGATGAAGGCCACCAGGGCCCTGATGGTGTTCCCCATGCGGAGGCCGGAGGCAGGGTGAGCCCCAGCCCACCGACTCGCTGACGGGGCCCACGGTGGGTTGGGGCCGCTGCCGACTGCCCTGAGGCCGACTCTCCTCTCCCATCCTAACCTGGGATTGGCAGGACCAAAGCCAGTCACTTCAACAGAGGAAAGTGCTCCTGATAGCAACTTGAGTGTCAGGTGACAGGCCCAACGCACAGGGTCTGGGAGGCCAGGCCTGCTTCGCATACTTCCTTTCAGTCACCTAAGCCCCAACTGCCTTTATCTACATGTTTTTGTTTGTTTCAAGCTGAAAATAGCTTCACTGCTTTTTCTAATGATAAAGCGTTAAGACGTTATGTAAACGTGTAACAGAAGAAAATGGAAACCCCCGTAGCCACCGTATTACCCAGAAATATACACTAAACATTTTAGTTTGCTACAGTAACTGATTTATTTTTTTTAATTAAAAAAATTTTTTTAGTGTTTACTTATTTTTGAGAGAGAGAGAGAGTGCAAGTTGGGGGCGGGCAGAGAGAGAGGGAGGCACAGAATCTGAAGCAGGCTCCAGACTCCGAGCTGTCAGCACAGAGCCTGATGCAGGGCTTGAACTTATGAACCATGAGATCATGACCTGAGCCAAAGTCAGATGCTTAACTGACTAAGCACCCAGGCGTTCCACAAGTAATCAATTTATTGTTAAAAATTTACGCTGTTGAAGAGTTTTACTTTTATTATAACATGGACATATTTTTTTTCCTTAAAGAGTTTATTGTCAAGCTGGTTTCCATATAACACCCAGTGCTCATCCCAAGTGCCCTCCCCCATGCCCATCACCCCCCCTTCCCCTCTCCCCCACCCCCATCAGCCCTCAGTTTGTTCTCAGCATTCAAGAGTCTCTCATGGTTTGCCTCCCTCCCTCCCCCCAACTATTTTCCCCCTTCTTCTCCCCCATGGTCCTCAGTTAAGTTCCTCCTAATCCACCTATACGTGCAAACATATGGTATTTGTCCTTCTCTGCCTGACTTATTTCGCTCAGCATAACACCCTCAAGGTCCATCCATGTTGCTACACATGGCCAGATTTCATTCTTTCTCATTGCCATGTAGTATTCCATGGTATAGATAAACCACATCTTCTTGATCCATTCATCTGTTGATGGACACTTAGGCTCTTTCCATGTTTTAGCTATTGTGGAGAGTGCTGCTATGAACATTGGGGTCCATGTGCTCCTATGCATCAGCATTTCTGTATCCCTTGGGTAAATTCCTAGCAGTGCTATTGCTGGGTCATAGGGGAGTGCTATTGTTAGTTTCCTGAGGAACCTCCACACTGTTTTCCAGAGGGGCTGCACCAGTTTACATTCCCACCAACAGTGTAGGAGGGTGCCCGTTTCTCCACATCCTCACCAGCATCTAGAGTCTCCTGATTTGTTCATTTTAGCCACTCTTGACTGGCGTGAGGTGGTATCTCAGTGTGGATTTGATTTGTATTTCCCTGATGCTGAGGGACGCTGAGCATATTTTTGTGTTTGTAGGTAATATACACAATTATTTTAATCACCTGTATTCCATTATGTGGAGGCATCGTTTAAGTGTGAACAGGTCCCTGTTGTCATCTATTGGCATTTGGATCGCTTGCAATGTGTCACTATTATAAATATACTCCTACATGCGTTGTGAGAGTTATCCACTAATTTCTTTAAGAAATGGCCTTAGAAGTGTTCCTGGGTCAAAGATAATGCATCTTTTAAAAAAATTTTTTAGGGGCGCCTGGGTGGCTCAGTTGGTTAAGCGTCTGACTCAGGTCATGATCTCACGTTTCGTGGGTTTGAGTCCTGCGTCGGGCTTTGTGCTGACAGCCAGCTCAGAGCCCGGGGCCTGCTTCAGATTCTGTGTCTCCCTCTCTCTCAGAAATAAATAAGACATTAAAAAAAATAAAAATAAAAATAATTTTTGTAATGTTTATTCATTTTTGAGAGACAGAGACAATGTGAGCAGGGGAGAGGCAGAGAGGGTGACACAGAATCTGAAGCAACCTCCAGGATCCAAGCTGTCAGTACAGAGCCTAATGTGGGGCTCAAACCCACAAATCGTGAGATTATGACCTGAGCCAAAGTCAGATACTGAGCCACCAGGAGCACCCCCCCTTTCTTTGAGAGAGGGTGCAAGTGAGTGAGTGACAGAGAGAGAGAGAGAGAGAGAGGAGGAGAGAAAGAGAAAGGAGGCTCACCCAAAGTGGAGCTCGAGCTCATCTGATGTGGGACTCAAGCTCATGAACCATGAGATCATGACCTGAGCCAAAGTCACATGTTTAATGACAGAGCCATCCAGGTGCCTGCAGGTGTTCATTTTCTTAACTCTTCATTTTTACTGGGTAATAGTTTTCCATGGTTTACAAATTTGCCTTTGACAAAAGGCAAGTGGAAAAGCAGAAGGGAGGGAAGAGGAAAGCCAGCTCCTGCAGCTGAAATAAATGAGGATCATCTCATCAGTTCATCGACGGCAGATAACAGCTAATGGCCCATCAAAGGTTCGTGCTTTTCTTCCATAGTGTCCAGCTGTGGGAAGCAGCTGTCCAGCCAGGACATTTCCTAGCCCCAGTCTAGGGCAGAGAGTCTAATTCTAGCCAATGGAATGTGGCCAGCAGTGACTCCTGTCTCTTCTAGGCCTGGCTCATTTAAAGCCAGCGTCGCCTACCTCCACACGCTCCCCATCTGCTCGCTGCATATCAACACCCAGGGGGACCTTAACCGCCACCATGTGGAAGTCACATGTTGAAGCTGGCAGGGCCTTGGTCCTTCTGGATCCCTGGAAAGGTTAGCATCCTAACACCCTCCAACCTTCAGGTCGATTCCCATCTTTCTGCAAGTACTCTCTTGTCCTGTTTGAAATGTTTTTGTTTGAATTGTTGTTTGTTTTTTCTTTTCTTTTCTTTTTTAACAATAGACATCTATGTAGCAACTATGCCAAAGGAGACAACCCATCAGCCTGCCTGGGGCTGGCTGTGCCGGTGGGGGGCGGAGGGGGGGCTCGGCCTACTCCTTACTGTCCTCCAGGGCCTTTGCTGCGAGATTGCTCTAAAGGACTGAGCAGAGCAGAAGAACATTCCACGTGAATGGCCATTCTGCAGCGCCACCACCCACTTTCTTTCTCCTCAGTCACAAAGGAAGCTGGTGTCCTTCTTAGACTTTCTACACACTGAATGTCAGAGGCTATCATCTCGAGGCTCCTCCTTCCTGTGTTGATTTGTACTAGAACAAATGGCCTCTCGACAAGTATTGTGCTTTGCTTCTATATTTGGCCTGGCCACTGTGACCACAGACGGTCATGAAACAGCTGCCCCGTTGTCCCTAGAAATAATGCCAACAATGATGGCCACCTGTTATTGTTTGTAACAAATTGGCTAAACACTAAGCACTGTGCCAGGGGCTTTACATATACTCTCTTCTCTGAACACCTGCCAGAGAAATATTTTTTATCCCCAATTTTCAGATGAGAAAACTGAGGGTCAGAGGGGTTTAGTAATGACAACAAATATTTATTGAGCACCCACTACGTTCTAGAGGCGGGGAGTCTTGTGGCTAACGAGATAGATAGGATAGGACCCTATGTCACAAAGTACACAATTCCACCAGATCGGGGGTGGTGGGTTCTCCTCCTGAAGTTAAGGTCCCACCAGCTGACAAACTCTGGCCTCACACTCCGAACTTCTATTTGACACTTTAATGCCATTCCCTAAATATGAGCTAAGGACAACGAAACAGTTGAGAAAGGCCTTTTGTGTGAACCATGGAAACAGAAATAAGCAGAAGAATAGAAATCAAGAAAAAACAACAGAGAGAGCAGATTGTAACCAGCCACACTGCCGTATCTTCAGAGTTTGTCTGGCCCTCACTTTTCATGCCATGTGTCAGGTTTAAAGCGAATGAAACGTCCCTTGGGTAGCGTGGAGGGTTATGGATTGACCATTACCGTGATTGGTTTATTGACCCACCTGAACTGTTGCCCTTGGCAAAGGGACAGGCTGGAGACTCGATGGCATCTAGGTTGCTTACAATGTGCCTGTGAAAGACCCACACGACCCTCTTCACAAAGTCACTGGAAAGACCACGTCCTCTCTGGCCACAGATGTCTGTGAATCTATGATAAGCATCCCATGACCCCTGTGACCCCAGAAGGCTCTGAACTGGCTTATCTAAGGGACAGGTAGATGTTCGGGGCTCAGCTCAAGGACCGCAGTCAGTGATAATCTCTGAAAAGGAATGTCAGAATGGTGGCCTGGGTGCAAGAAGGCAGCAGGTTAAAGCAAGAGCTAGGGGAGACAGGCCTGCTCCTGACACTGCCTACTTCCTGGGGGGTTTGCAAAGGGCTCTGTGCTCACAGCCTCCCATTGCTCAGGGCACATAGGGTTGTGATCTTGAGGCTTCTGAGAAGAGCACTGACCATGTCACCCATAGCAGAGGTTATAGCTTACACAGCGTGCCCTTCCTGGCCCCCACCTACCCATTTCCCCCCACGTTGGCCTCCTAGTGCCTCCTAGTGGGGTCATTGAAGCCCCACCTCAAGTCCAGGCAGGGGCTTCTGATTCCTGCAGAACGAAGCCCAGACTCCTCAGTGAGGCTTACAGGCCCCTAGAGGATGTGCCCCTGCCCAGCTCTCCAGCCCACTGAGGGCTCCCCTCTTCCCTTGCTGCCCTCTCTGGTTCATCGAATGTGCCGACCCTCCCCCATGCAGACCCCTTTGCCTGCAATGCCCTCCCCACCCCCCGCCCCTCCCCTCACTCTTACTCATTTGTGCCATCACACCAGACATGTCATTTCCTACCCATTTTGCACTGTGCTAACAGTGCTCCTCTGTAAAAACGTACTGATCGCCCATCTTCCCCGCGACTCTAATCCCCACGTGGGCACATCTGCTGGGATCGGCTTCCTGCTGCATCTGTCGTCTCCGCCTCAGTACCTGGCACCCAGTAGGTCCTCAGCAAGTGGCAGTAGGTGAGCTCATGCTAATTGGCCAGTGAACTAGGCCTTGACTTGCCCACAGAAAATTATTATTTTTTTAAATTTATTTTTGAGAGGAACAGAGAGAGTGCGTGCAAGCAGGGGAGGAGCGGAGGAAGACAGGGAC